CACCTTAACCAAAATCAAAGTAGACTATCACTCACCCACACCAGATGGAAAACTCTACATATATATATATCGTCACAAACAGAACTGCCCGGTAATCCGTAGGCAGAGAGAGAGAGAAGAGGACAACAAACGAGGGGCTGTGACAAATTGTTTCGTCGGAGTTTCACCGACTAAGGTAACCAGCGTTCGGGACGGGCCGAACGCCCGAACCCGAACGCCCGAACGTATGGGACCCCTTGGGGATAGGTTTGGCCGTTCGGGCCGAACGCGGACCCAAAAAAAAAAAAAAAAAAAAAAAGGGAAGTCATCAAAAAAATCTGAAAAAAAGATATGTTATGGAGAGAGATAAGTTAACAAGATTTGCCTGAGCATTACATCCGAATTCCTTACCAAATTTGAATTAAAAATCAAATTCGGAAAACAAATACTAATAATAAAAATAAATAAAAATAAAAAGAGAATTAAATTTAGAGAGTGCGCGAGCATGTTTTCGACACCACCATCTTTGGCCATTTTTTTTTTTTCTTTTGGCATAGTTAAATGCCCTGAAAATTTACAGATGTGTACTTCACATAATACAAAACCCACTAAAAAAGTTTCAAAAAAATAATAAAATTGTTTAGACCCCGAACTGAAGTGAAAACAAAAAGTAAAAAGTGAAAAAATATGTGGGCGAGCACGTTTTGACTTTGCCATCTTTGGCGATTTTTAATTCTTATGTGGATTAGCCAAACGACTTGAAAATTTACAGGCATGTACCTCACGTCATAGAGAACTCACGAAAAAAAACTTCAGAAAAAAATTATTATTTTTAGGTCCTGAAATATTTTTTGGTGGGGGCCGAACGCCGTCGGGTTCGGACCCCGCACGGGACACCAAACGCCCGTACGTACGGAGGTTCCTGGGGACCTCCGTACATACGGGCTGGTGACCCTGTATATATATATATATATTCAATTTTTAATATTTTTCAATTCTAAATTTGGTGAAGAATTTGGTGAAGAATTTCGCGGAAGAAGGGCTACTCTCGCTGAAACGCAAACTAAGGAAACAGGCATTTCCGGCAGAGTTTTTTGACGGAACTCTCTGGAGATTTGTGCGGCAGTGTGCTCCCGATTGGGCCCAAGTAGCCCAAAGAGTTACTCTTGGCCTGTTAAAGTAACTAGGGAGGTTCGATTAAGGGGCCTCGCAGTGTGTCTCTCTGCTCCCGGAAACTTCGATATTGGTCTTTCTGTTCATGGTACTTAGCGGTGTGGTTCATTCATAGGCTGTCCGGGTGGGAAAGTAGGAAGGGGCTCTAGAGTTTTACGGAAGGTACCGGTTGGGGGACTGGAACCCACAGGTTTACCTTGTAGATTTTGACAGCAGCAGTGGTAGGAGAATGGGCCCTTGACATAGGGCTATTAATAGCAGAACAGTGAGTGATATGACCTCTTGGAACGTCGAGACGTGGACGTGCGTGTAGGGCGTCTCCGCGCTCCTCGCGCTATAGCTTTGGAGTGTCGCGGCTGTGTCACGGAATTTTGTTTTTGGCATTTTCAAAGCACCGTTCAGTTTTGATGTTGATGAAAAGGTTTTTTGTCACTGTGTTCATCTGTTTTGGACAAGCTGGCTGCATGCATGTTTGACTACTGCTGCATCGTATTCACTTACCTGTGGCAAAAGTTTTTCAGTTCAGTTTTCTGCATCACATTTTTTTTTTTCCTTTTTTCTTTTTTTTCTTTTTTTTGCTGGGACGTTCCCTGGGTCCTTGCACGGGCTAGCCACGCCGGACGGGGGGCCAAGTCCCACTAGCAGCGTTGAGGTAGCTCAACGCCTGAATGTGGACGCTTAGGCGGAGATGTGCAGAATTGGTGTCGAGTTTCCTGAACTGCACGGCTCCACAAACACATCCACATTCAATGCTGCTAGTCACTGGGACTTGGCCCCCGGGGGCACGGTTCCACTAGCAACCGAGTAAGGTATATTGTCGCACGGCGACACCTGTGGGATGTCCGGGGGACATCCACCAGCCGTTGCTGCAGCGGAATCCGAGGGTAGCAAAATAAAGATGTTTGTATATTTAAAATTTGTGTTTAATTCACTTTTTCTTGTTTTTTTTTTTTTGGTGAATAACAGGATGTGGGGAAAAGAAATACCAAGTCTGTTTTTGATTGGTGGTTGTCGAAAACAAAAAAAAAAATCAAGTACTCTAAGTCGTTCGTATTGACGGTGCTTTCTTTTCCGGTCAATAGAAAGCCCCTCAAGTACTTCATTTCTTTCTCAAAATATAAGGACTTCACCCTTGAAAATGGGAACCGTCACAGGAGGCATTCCCGTCGGGCACACTAAGGGACTCCACTCCCTCTCTGTGGTTCGTCAGACTCGGACTGCAATCGTCACCCTCAGGCTTTTCACTCACCTTTCACTCACCTTTGGGTTGTGGCCCATGCGTGGAAGAGAGGCTGAGGGAATATCAGTCCGTGTCAGACCCTCGTCCAAGTTGTCTGTAGTCCCCGCAAATGTTTCACATGGGCAATGCTTTTGTCCTCTTCCTTTGACATGCATGTGCCCCCTTATTTTTTGGGAGGTGTTTGGATCCCCTCACCTACAGCAAATGGTGTATGGAGTTACTCTTGCCCTTGTTTTTTTACGTTTATTTTCCCTATTTCACGCTGCCACCCACCTGTCCCCCACCCGTCACCCACCCGTCACACTAATCCACATACCTGGCTAGTGGGATCTCCCTCCGGGTCCTGACAGTCTACCCGGGGATTTCGGACCATTTCTCGATTTATGTGTATCATCCTTGCGCAGGGGGCCATGCTAATCTTCTGTGTATCGTTCCAATTTTTTTTTTTTTTTTTCATTTTTTTTTTAAAGGCTAATTGTTTAAGCCCAACCAATTCAATTACCTGTCAAATCTGGACAGGACGGCCTTTCACTGACAGGCCTTTTTTATTGTCATTATAGTATTACGGGGAACCAAGTAGCTGCCACATCCGTGCTGAAGCCTCCAACGAGGGAACATGCTGGAGCTGCACCCACCAGCAGGTGCGATACCTGCTGCAGTTTTAACGGATGTCCCGAAGGACAGTTGGTACATCCTTGAGCTGCTGAAATATCATCGGGTTKTTTTGGAAAAAAAAAAAAAAAAAAAAAAAAAAAAACAGAGTCCGAGCTTCTCTGCTGGAAGCAGATGAGTGGAATACTGGGAACAGTCCGAACAGACGAGTAAAAACCAACGGACAAGATTTTTGCCCCCCTTTTTTTGGTTACTCTCAGGTTCCCTTATCCTCAGGAGACCCCTCCCTTGCACCCCTCCACTGTCTCCACATACCACATCGAAGCTTGCTCTTTTCTTCCCCCCCTCAGGGTCGACTCTGTCTCTTATACACATCTAGATGTGTATAAGAGACAGGTCGACATGCTTGAAGGTGGGTTTTTCAATTGGGAAACGTATTGGCAACTTAAATGAGTTTTGTTAACTTAATCTGCTATCAGCTAATGTGAAAAAAAAAAAAAGAATAGAACAGAAAATGGAGAACGAATTGCGTGCAATATGTAAATTGATCGAATCGAGGCTTTTTTCCTTCTTTTTTTTTTGTGATTTTTGGCCAATTCCGCGCAGAACAAAAAAAAGGGAAAGAAAAAAGAATGAAGATAAAGAAAGCCTACATTTCGTCACGAGTTCGCCGCCAATTTGTCAAAAGTGACCTCTCTTTTTTTTCTCTTTTTTTTTTCACCGCATCAGAAGGAAGAAAAGAAGTTGCTCGTATACCTCCCACAAAAAAAAAATAAAAAAAAATCATTACGCCGCCAATTGATTAAAAGCGACCTATTATATTTCACGAATTCCAGGGATAAAAAAGAACTTGTCCGAAGCCTGATGTAGGGACGAGCCACATCAACGATTTTTCCTAAACAACATATCTACACCTGTCTCTTATACACATAAAGAACTTGTCCGAAGCCTGATGTAGGGACGAGCCACATCAACGATTTTTCCTAAACAACATATCTACACCTCGTTCCTCTCCTTCCCCCCCCCCCCCCAAAAAAAAAAAAAAAGCATTGCGAATCGGACGTACTACCCTTACTCAGCTATTTCCGAAGATCAACGGTCCTCCCCCCCAAAAAAAAAAACAAGATCACTGGTCCTTAATTGCCCTCCCCTCCCGCATCTTCCCCTCCCTTCCCCTCCCCTTTCCCTCCCCTTTCCCTTCCCTCCCCCCCCTCTCTCCATGCCTAATGAGTGTGATTGACTCCGCACACACATGCCAGCTATTGATTGGTAAATCGAACAGGGGGCGTCAACTACCCCCCCGCCCCCCCCCCTCTCCCGCCCCGTTCCAGCCTGAGGCGTCCTGAGTTCAAATCCCGATACCGATCGAGTACAATGGTCGTAATGTTTGAAAAAGCCCGGAAAAGAAAAAAAAAAGCCCGAAAATTGAACACGTGTCGATCTGTCGCTCAACCTTTCCTTCTTGCAGACCAGGCGGCAGTGCCACATCAGACAGACGGGAAGTTTCACAGTAACTTCTCCGAAGTTGCGGCGTAGGAACAGCTGCAAACGAATTATCCGTTGACGTGCTAGGTCAAATGTCATACTCCTTATTCCACAGATCCTCAATGTCGGGTCCGATCACACTGCTCCTTCTCCTCCTCCTCCTCCTCCTCCTTCACAGACGTCATCTGAGATTGAGAAGCCGTCATCCGTCGATCTGTTTGTCAATCTATCTGACAAAGAGGCCTCCTCCTCGTCCTCCTCTTCCTCCTCCTCCTGGTCGTCGTCGTCGTCGTTACGAATTGCAAAACGACAAAAAACGATCCGTAATGTTTGAAAAAGCCCGGAAAAGAAAAAAAAAAGCCCGAAAATTGAACACGTGTCGATCTGTCGCTCAACCTTTCCTTCTTGCAGACCAGGCGGCAGTGCCACATCAGACAGACGGGAAGTTTCACAGTAACTTCTCCGAAGTTGCGGCGTAGGAACAGCTGCAAACGAATTATCCGTTGACGTGCTAGGTCAAATGTCATACTCCTTATTCCACAGATCCTCAATGTCGGGTCCGATCACACTGCTCCTTCTCCTCCTCCTCCTCCTCCTCCTCCTCCTCCTCCTTCACAGACGTGATCTGAGATTGAGAAGCCGTCATCCGTCGATCTGTTTGTCAATCTATCTGACAAAGAGGCCTCCTCCTCCTCCTCCTCCTCGTCCTCCTCTTCCTCCTCCTCCTGGTCGTCGTCGTCGTCGTCCTCCTCCTCACACTGATCTGAGCACGACAGTGGGAAGATTGATAGCAGTGCTAATTAGCACACAGCAGACTGCATGATGACACCATACACAGTGAAAGTACACAGTAGGGTGAGAAGACGAAAACCCAACCACAGGTAATGCCGACAAGATATACATGATGAAGAGCGGAGCGATCTGGCGATTACACCCCCACGCTGCGTTTCAACCAGTCGCCAGTCTGCTATCGTCAGGAAGTAAGTGAACGACGCCGTAGAGGACGACAGGCCATACTCCGTCGAGTGTTGCTTATCAATCAATCCGACAGCGACGCCTCGTCCTCCTCCTCCTCCTCCTCCTCCTTCTCCTCCTCCTCCATCATTTGAGGACAATGGATCAACGAGCATGCTGCCGTCGGCCCTGGATGTTTTTCTGTGTTTTTTTCTGTCAAGCACTCGCAGGCAATCTCAGAAAGAGCCGCCTGTTTATCAATCAATCCGACAACGACGCCGCATCCTCCTCCTCCTCCTCCTCCTCCTCCTCCATTTGAGGAGGTCGGATCAACGAGCATGCTGCCGTCGCCCGTCGATGTTTTTCTTTGTTTTTTTGGGTCAAGCACTCGCAAAATTTCAGAAACAGCCGCCTGGATCCCTCCTGAAATCCAAGGTAAGGGATGTAGGACTACCGTAGTACCACACTATCTACCACAGTGACTGCTGCTCAACGAAGAAGGGCGCAGCGCTCTCTATTAGGCGCCGCTCTGCTTTTTCCTATTTGGGGGATGAGGTATGGAACAGGAGGTCGTGGGTTCAATTCCGCGATCACTATATTAGATGAACTAGAGCAACTGCGCCCTTGTGTTAGTCAAGGAACACAACCCCCAGATGAGTCGGTGAAAAGTCCGACGAAAGTCTGGCATAGTCGTGCTTTTTTTATGTGAAGCTTGATGTATAGCAAACATGACAACACACAACAAAAGGGATTAAAAAAAAAAAAAAAAAAAAAGAACCTGAGGTATACGCACTATCACCAGCGCGTCTTTCTCTCTTCTCCTTCGTTCTTCTTCTCTAGCCTTGTGATGACCATCGCCGAATCCCGCCTCACAGCCCGCTGCTGGTCTTCACATGTGCTGCTCCAGCGGTTTCTCGTTGACGTCAGCATGTCAGTCAGCACGAAGCGTCGCCGTCGTCGTCGCACACGGGCGCGGCGCGCGGTTGCGAAGCGGCGACAGCCCCACGAAGGGGCATTGCCGCACACCAGCGCCGCACACCAGCCGCGTCTCTCTCCTACGTTTCTATTTTTAATGTTCTCTTCTTTTTTTTTTTTCTTTTTTTTTTTCTCTAGTCTGCAGATAAATTCCATTTCGACAAAGGAAATCCAATTTCGACGGATTGCGCACGGAAAAAAAAACAAAATACTGTAAATAAATTAAAAAAATCCAATGTGCATGGCGCCCTCATCCGCACAGCTCCCTGGTGGACTTCCACATACGTGCTGTAGTGGTTTTTGGTTGACGTCAGCAAGTCGGGACGCGTAGCCTCGTCGTCATCGTGCACACACGTGCGCGGCGGCGACTGTGGGGAAAGGCGTTCGCTTTGCGACGACGAAGGTGCTGTGGCACACACCATAACCACCACTACTGTCCGCCCCGTCGCACACACCATTACCACCACCACTGTCCGCGCGGTCGCACACACCACCACCACCATTGTCCGCCTGTCGCACACTCGATCATCAAACCCGAACTGCCGCACACTCTCAACGGAAAGTAACGGAATGTCTTGTTGCTGCTCGGTTGCCAAATTTGTCAAAGAGGTGTGTCGCACTCGCACACTGTCGCACACTTGCGCACACTTCCGCACACTCCCAGCGCATCGAATATCTCTGTGGTCCACCAACAACGCTGCCAATCCGTCCGCCTGCCACACGTCTGTCGAATAAATGAGCGACGCCAGTGTCGCACAACTCGGACTGTGTCCACCAAATCGGCTAACGGAGAGCACACATCTGCCACGTGCGCCGAGCCGTCGCTTTTTCGACAGCACGTACGCCTCAAGATTGCGCGGTTGACAGATCGGCTGTGTGCGACGCATCTGTGTGACAGCCTTGCACGCACGTCTCAGACTGCGTGCGCTGAATTGTTCACGATCTGAATTTAAAATTTTGAATGTGTACTATTATTAGACTATAACATGTACAAAATCGGCCGTGTGTGACGCATCTGCCGCACATCTTCCACAGCCTCGCACACCTCATCCTGCGGGCGACAAATCGTCGGCCATGTGTTTAACGGACGAGTCGCACACATCGGTAACATCAGCCTCGCACGCACGCTCTTCAGGCTGCGTGCGCCAAATTTTTTGTACATAGAATCCAAATGTAAATGTAAAAGACGATCTATAAAATGTATAGAAATCGGCTGTGGGCGACGGATCCGTCGCACATCTTTGGCAGCTTCACAGGCCTCTGAAATTCTGAATGCGTGGGACAAATGGGCTATGTGTGACGGATGCGTCATACATATCTGTAACAATCTCTCACACAACTAGACTGCGACCGACAAATCAGTTGTGTACGACACATCGGTCGCACATCTTTCATGGCTGCACAGCCTCCGACTCCGTGCCACATACCGTGCACATCTTTCACCCCTGCACCTCTCTCTCTCTCTCTCTGTCTGTGTGTGTGTGTGTGTGTGTGTGTCATGGATCACCAAACAATGGGTTACAGATGCTTGAATCTCAGAGAGAACGTACAGAGAGAAGAAGAAGGGATCTCTCTCTCTCTCTCTCTCTCTCTCTCTCTCTCTCTCTCTCTCTCTCTTGTGTTGTTGTGGATCACCAATCAATGGGTTACCCATGTTTGGATCAGAGGGAGAACGTACAGAAAGGAGAAAAAAAAGAAGAGGAAGACGAAGAAAGATGAAGAAGAAGAAGAAGAAGAAGAAGAAGAAGAAGAAGAAGAAGAAGAAGATGTACAGCATTTCTTACAGAACAATAATCAATATTGAACAGGCGACACCGATGGTCGACGTGACTGATAAAGAATTCTTTGCCGGCCGGCGAAGGCTCGAGGGAGGGAGGGAGTTTGCACCCGAGCGAAGCCGTGACTCTAGAATTACGTATTACTCGGATCTCTTCACGTCTGGTGCTACCGGTAGTAGTCGATTCCCAAAGCGGGACTGTTTATGGATGCCTGCCGCATTCAATAGAGCTAGCACTTGGGAGAGTTTGTCCAGCAACGCGCCCACCTTATCTATATCCGCTGCCTCCCAGCTGCCACCTCCACATGACAAACTTTTCGATAACGTCGTCATCATCCCCATTTCCTCCTCTTTCTCCTCCTCCTCCTCCTCCTCCTCCTCGACATCCATCCTCCCCACATGTTCTTCTTCCCTTCCCTCTCCTCCTCCTCCTCCTTCTCCCCTCCTCCTCCTCCTCACCCCACCTCCTCCTCTCTTCCAATCGCTCCCAACAAACGCTGGTCGCGACCGCAACCTCCTCCTCCCTCCCTTTTGCTTCACCCTCCCCCTACCCTCCCCACCTTCCCCTCCATCCCGATCCCCACCACCTACGAACCTCCCAACTACCAACTCCTCGTTCTCCGGTCTCTCAACGTCGTCCATATCATCGAGCCGTCGCTTGATCACCGCCTGCCACGTGTCCTTCTTCTTCCTCTCCTTCCCATCGTCCTCTCCTTCCAGTGGAGGATACTCCTCTATCCCGCTCCTGCTCCTCCTCTCCCTCGCGATTCGTCGATCGAGGAGAAGGGCAGCCTCCCTCTCTCTCTCTCTCTTCGGGGTAAGGCTGCCCGCCATGGCTGGAGGAGAAGGCAGGCTGCCATAGCCGGAGGAGCAGGACAAGGAATAAGTGGACATCTCCGAAGGCTCCCCATCTTCTTCTTCTTCTTCCTCCTCCTCCTCCTCCTCTACGTTCCCCTCCTTCTGCTTGCCGACCTGCGCAAGATGGCTCCCGTCTCCTCCTTCTCCCTCCTCCTCCTCCTCCACGTTCCCGCCATCCATCTTCTCTATCCTACTACTGTCCCGACGGCGACAAATCTTATCACACTCCCCTGCTGTTCTATCCGATCGAATCTCTGTGTCGTGATCGTGATCTCTTCGTCTTCTTCTTCCTCCCCCTCCCCCTCCTCCCCCTCCCCCTCCTCCACTGTCCGTCTCCCAGGCACGTGTCGGTACTGCGTTCTCTTGGAACTCACACAGCAGTTCTTCCACGTTCCCTATCGCCTCTTCGCAGTCGTCTCTGTGCTGCAAGAAGTAGGCCTGAAGCGACGCCGGCGATACCTTATCGGTTGGCACCTGATCCGCAAAGGACTTCACCTTATCCGTACTGGAGTTGGGATAGAACCGTCGGAACATGAACTCGATTTGCGCGCGATTAGCGAGGCCGAGACACATCTTCAGATCGCAGCGTCCCGGTCGGACCAGAGCGGGATCCAGGCGCTCCACGTGATTGGTCGTCATGATGAGAATCTTACCCTCCTGAGCCGCCACACCGTCAATCGCGTTCAGAAGCCCGCTAAAGGACAAGGAATTGGGTTTATCCTCCCCAGAACGGCCAACGAAGGCCGCGTCAATATCCTCCAGCACGACGATGGATCTCCTCGGGGCTCTATCTAGCGCGTTGCGCAAGCTCGCATCACCCATCTTGCTGTCCGACAAACCGATTATGGACAAGTCCAGCTTCAGCTCGCCGGCGAGGACGAGGATGGTGCTGCTCTTCCCGGTCCCCGGCGGTCCGTACAGCAGGTATCCCCGTCTGTACGGCACACCCCGACTGCGATACCATTCCTGGCCCTGAATGAACTGATTGGCATCCTGCACTAGCCGCTCAAAGTCTCCTTCGTTCAGACTCAGCGTGTCTTTGCCGCGGATTGGCCGCTCAGCCACCTCCTCCCAGTACTCCTCCCCGCTGCAGTAGCGACGAATGACCGTCTTCTTCTTCGTCGTTTGCTTGTCGAACCACGTGTCCATTGCCTCCTGGATCAGGTTATGTATCGCAGACTGAGATTCGGACCGGATCCGGATGCAAGACCGACCCTGCGCGCCGAGAAGCCGGTTGAGGATGTCGTCGCCGCCGCCGCCGCCGCCGTCCAGGCCCATGCCTCCGCCAGCGCGGCCAGATCGGCAGTCCGTCTCGAAGTGCACGATGTTGCCCTTGTACAGGAGCTTGACGGGTTCTTTCTTCAGGTTGGGAGTGAGGGAGATTCGCGGTTTGCGCTGCCATTCCTCGTCGGGATCGCCATCGTCGTCCTCCCCGTTGTCGGAGCTCACGGATTCCCAGGTGCACGTCAGATCCCACTGCGTCGTCGTGCGCTTCTCCGTTCGCGCGGCCAGCCATTCAGTGATCCACGTGGCCGCCTCGCTGTCCTCCTCGACGAAGACCGAATGCCCCTGGGACCGCCAATATGCCAAAACCCAGACGGTCAGGGACATGGCCATCCGACGCGCAGAAGTGACGAGGAAGGTGAGGAGAGTGATTGTAAGACTGGCAATGAAGTACTCGTTGAGAAAGTAACGGTGCTTGACGGCGCCCGTTAGGGCGGTGTGGATAGAAGAGATGGCCCCAAGAACGGTCACGTTCTTGGAGTCGGACGAGTTCAGCTGCGCAGCTATGGCGCTCTGAAGCGGGGACCAGATATCCTCAAGTCCTGCCGACATCAAATACCGTCCGTCGAACATCATCGGGTGGCCGCTCGCTTCCATCTCTCTCTCTCTCTCTCTCTCTCTCTCGTAGGGCTCTCTCTCTCTCTCTCTCTCTCTCTCTCTCTCTCTCTCTCTCTCTCGTCGGCTCTCTCTCTCTCTGCCTCTCTCTCTCTCTCGTCGGGTCGAAGTCGCGTCGAAGTCGAGTCGAAGTCGAGTCGAAGTCGAGTCGAGGGTGAGTGTATGAGTTTGTGCGGGAGTGAGCGAAGGTTGTGAATGTTAGGAAACAAATATTTCTATGGTGCGATAGCAGGGATGCGCTCGTTGGGCTAGAAGAAGAAGAGATCGCTCTTTCTCCGAGCCGACGAGGATGGTGCGCCCACTCAGCATGAGCTTGTATGTCGTGAACTGCATCTAATTACCGTATCCAACGTCATACATACCTCGTCCACCTCTGCCTGGCTTTGCACTCTCTAAACCAGTGGGTCCCTCTTTCTATGTGTTTGCACTCTCTAAGCCAGTGGGTCCCTCTTTCTATGTGTTTCCACTCGTGTCGTTCGCGACTGTTCCACTAGATGCCTGTCGAAAATTACATAGCGCACCCATCGACTCTCTCTCTCTCTCTCTCTCTCTCTCTCTCTCTCTCTCTCTCTCTCGGGGTCGATCTTCGGGTCCAATCCGTTGCGGGATACGTTGTGCAATACAAGCACACCCGCTGCTGACCAGCCTATTCTCTCTCTCTCTCTCTCTCTCTCTCTCTCTCTCTCTCTCTCTCTCTCTCTCTCTCTCTCTCTCTCTCTCTC